GAATTGTTAGCATAATGTATAGATATGCCTAGAAATTGATTTGCAAGACCAAGATCTTTCAGATTAAAGCGAGCAGCAAGTTTAGATATAAGGTTAGAGATTGCTTCACTATTGTTGCCAGTGATCAAAATATCGTCTACGTAGACCAACAGATACATTCTCGTATCATTGTTCTTGTACGTGAGCAACGACGGATCAGCCATACTATGCTGGAAACCGAGAGCGAGAACGTGCTCAGTGAATGTATTGTACCACTGTCTCGGAGCCTGTTTTAAACCATAAATGGCTTTTTGTAGGAGACACACATGATCCGGATGCGATGTATCTTCAAAACCTTTTGGTTGTTTCATGTACACCGTCTCCGATAGCTTGCCATGAAGAAAGGCGTTTTCCACATCAAATTGCCTGATGGTCCAGTTGTGGAACAGAGCTATAGTAATAAGTATGCGAACCGTAGGTAATTTGGCAACGGGGCTAAATGTTTCAAGATAATCAACACCGTGCTCTTGATGATTTCCCTGAGCTACAAGCCTAGCTTTGTATCTGGCAACGGATCCGTTTGTGTGTCTTTTTGTACGAAAAGTCCAACGGCATCCTAATATAGATGAAGAGGAAGGTGGCGGAACAAGGATCCATGTTCCCTGTTTTTGTAGAGCGCTGAATTCGGTTGCCATAGCATGACGCCATTCCATAGATTTGTAGGCATCCCGAAAAGTAGTTGGTTCTGAGAGAGTGTTGTCCGAGTATTGATGTAAAAGGTTAAGTCTGTTACGAGGCTTGAGAGAGCCAGTTTTTAGACGTGTGACCATAGGATGTTGATTGGTTGTGGTCTGAGTCGGAATGGTGCTGTGGCTTACGGAATTGTGAGATTCGGATGCAGAGTTTGAATTAGGTGTGACAAGAGTTTGCTCCTGAGTAGAAGAGATGGGAATTTGATTCTGTTGTGGTTGAGAGTCCACCGAATTAGTCCGCAAGGTTTGTTGAGCCGATGAGTGAGGCAGAAGAAACGCTGGAGTCGTATACGGAGCGGTAGAGGAAATCGTCTCTGTGTTGTGCCGAAATGGGAATGAGTCTTCCATAAAGGTAACGTGCCTAGATATCAGTACAGAATTTGTTTGACGATTGTAGCACTTGTAGCCTTTATATTGATCTACATAACCAAGAAACACACATGAGTTAGATTTAGGCTGTAATTTATTTCTTAAATGCTGCGGTGAGAGAGGAAAACATTCGCAGCCGAATGTTTTGAGGATAGAGTACGAAGGAACTTCTTTGTAAAGAAGTTGAAATGGTGAAGTAGACTCTGTGTTAGTTGAAGGGAGGCGGTTGATCAAGTATACTGCCGTGAGCACAGCGTCAATCCAGTGTTTATCCGGAATTGAAGCTTGATGTAGGAGGGTTCTCGCTGTTTCAACTATATGACGGTGCTTGCGTTCTGCGACGCCGTTTTGTTCCGGAGTGCAGGGACAAGATTTTTGGTGTTGAATACCATTGTTCTCAAGAAACCTGATAAAATTGTTATTAATGTATTCCGTTCCTCCGTCGGTGCGAAGAACTTTAATTTTAGTATTGAATTGATTTTCGAGCAGGCGTTTAAGATTCACAAAATTATCAAAGACATCAGATTTGTTTTTAAGTGGAATAATCCAGGTAAAACGAGAATAGTCATCAATAAACGAAACATAGTAACGAAAATCTTGATTTGAAGTAACCGGGGACGGACCCCAAACATCAGAATGCAACATCTCAAGAGGATGCATTCTTCGGTTACAAGATCTTGTAAATGGCAGTTTAGAACCTTTACAAGATTTACATGAAATACAAGTATGATTATTAACCGATAGGTGAAGTTGCGGCTGTGTAGACGCAAGAAGTTGCAAGGTTCGATTATTTGGGTGACCAAGTCGATTGTGCCACCTAGCAGACGATACCGTGGTTGATGAAAGAGCTGTGATCAACGGTTGAGTTGATGAAATAGGATATAGTCCTTCTTTACAGGGTCCACGAAGAAGAATGCTGTCCGTCATCAGATCCTTCATAACAAATCCGTTAGGTGTAAAAGTAATGGAAACGTTATTGTCTTTTACAAGATTAGAAATGGATAACAGATTATAAGAAATGCTAGGAATATGTAGAAGATTTGAGAGGATAAGCTTACGATTTGGTGTTGGAAGAATACCATTTCCCGATTGAGCTATCGGAAGGTTTCTCCCATCACCAATAGTAACCATTTCTGATCCACGATAGAGCGACGGATTAGAGAGATTTTCCGAAGTATTCGTCATGTGTGCGGAAGCCCCCGAATCAAGATACCATTCTTGCGGTTGAAGATTGGTGGTAGCAGTGAGACCTTTGGCCGAACCAGATGAAGATTGCTGCGGTGTGTAATTGACATTTAGTCGATGCCAACACGACGTCGCAATGTGCCCTTTCTTGTTGCAGATTTGGCACACAGAGATAGGTTTAGACGAATCCCTGGTGGAGTGTTGGTATGTAGAGGAAGATCGTCCTCTGTTCTTTTTCGTTCGTCCTCTGTTGGCGTAGAGCGCCATTTGAGGATCAAGGTGAACACCTGTTTTGGCGTAGTCATTTTTCACGTGAATTTCTTCACTTACAAGAAGGGAGTAGAAATTATCCAGGCTTAGAGATGATTGCAGCGTGCAAATAGTGGTTTTGAAGGCTTGATATGCCGGAGGCAAGCCATTCAAGATATACATAATGATATCTTCGTTGTCAATTGTAGCGCCTGCGGATGCGATTTGATCTACCAAGTTCTTGATAGTAGTTAGGTACTGCAGCATGGATTGGTCGTTCATCTGGACATTATGGAGCTCATTTTTGAGCTGTATGACTTTCGAGCGGTTCGAAGATTGGAATCTAGTCTCGAGCGCTTTCCATACCTCTGCCGTGGATTGCAAGTGTAACACGTATGGAAGAACAGTAGCCGAGATTGTAGAGCAAATAGCCGCCGAAAGGTTCTGATCAATTAATGACCAGTTGATGGCTTCTCCGGACTCAGAGGCTTGTTCTTGCTGCGCCGGGTCGGAAGAAGGTAGTTCAAGAAATTGATCAAAACTGTTTGCACGAAGAAGTTTCACAATCTGGCTTCTCCAGATCGCATAATTGTCTGTAGAAAGCTGAGATGGAACCAAGGTGCGTAGATTTGATACGACGAATTTAAGGTTTGCCGGAATACCAGCGCCGTTCGTCGTCTTCTCCGGTAGAGTCGTGGCCGTGGAAGAAGACGAAGAAGCCATGAGAGAAGAAAGCTCAGAATCTTGCCTTGTCTGATACCATGTAGAAACAGAGAATGGGATAGAGAGGAAACTGGTTTAAGAAAGAGGAAGAATATATCATTTCATTATTTCCTTGCCGTGTATATACAGAGCTATATATAGCTTTAGTACAGATGTAAGTAATACAAATAATGTGGTACTAAATGTTAATGTGTTTGTCTTCTAATAACTATGATATACTAGTCCTAAGAAAAATCTTAGCTAAGATGTTCCATATCATATTGCTTTTTAGTAGCTATTTTTATTAGTATGTAGCTCATCAGCCGAACTTGGTCTATTATTTGGGAGCTTTGATTGACAATTAAGAGGTCTTGAATTCGAGTCTTGCATATGTGATGTGTATGTGAATTTGTTTTAATTAACCTAAATGTTCCAAAGAAAATCTATATTTTTTCGTTAGATTGTGTATAAATTTCGATTGCATAATTCATTTAAGATTTATGTGATATAATCCATTAAAATTAGAGTGATTTTTAAAGTAAATCTAACACAATTGTATCACCATAAATAAGAATATTTAAAAATAAATCGGAACAAGATTAATATTAAGACACATAAAAATTTTGAGTTTGATTTTGTATTAATAATTTAAAATTAGAAATACTAAATAATTGACTTTGATTCATATTCTTAATGTTTTTATTAAAAATAAATTTAGTCATTAGTGTCTACCACTCAAATGTATTAGTGACACAATAGCTAATGATTAGGTCATATTGATTGGTTTATGAAGCGTTTAGTTCTCATGAATCTTTGGTACTTTCCACTGTTGATCATAAAGGTAGTTTAAGAACAATAATAGCTTCATGTGATTGAATGGATATTTCATACATAATATTTAATAATATTAAAAAATTATTTCAGGAAGAGTGAAAAGTGGTTGACTGATTTTAAAAACTCATATATAATTAAAAGTATGTTAAAAAAAATTAAATATCTGATTCTAATCAATATGCTTTTAAACATTTTTTATTTAAAATGAGTTCACCTTGATATATTAAATTAATTTTGATAAATAACAGTTTTTTTTTTATTTCTTATAATTTGAACCCTTTTTGCTAGTATTCATAATAATTTTAGAAAATTTTACATAAAACTAATTTTTATATATCTAACCCCTAAAATTATTTATTTACCATCTTCCTCGAACTCTTCATTACTTTCCATTGATGATTAAGGCTTCGTTTGGGACAGTTTTTTTACTGCTTTCTAAAACGAAGTTTTAATACAAAAATAAAAAAAAATTGTACTAAAACTCCGTTTTAGAAAGCAATAAAAAAGCCGTCCCAAACGAAGCCTAAATTGTAGATCTCATCAGTGCACTTTTACAACAATATCTCTTCATACACAAAAATTATTTTGTGTGGAGGCCGAACACAAAATGCTGTCCGGAAATCAATCAGAATACACCACATCAGCGGTACTAAGCTGCGATAACGTTCGGTGTCCGCACATAATAATTAATCTTTCATGTTTTTCTCTTCTTCTCTCTCGATTGACATGCCACCGATCTTGTTGACACCCTTCGGAAGCATTATCCCATTGCAACTGTCTTCCTTTTTCTCCCATCGATAATAGCAATGGCCTTCCCTCAATCACCTCTATCATAACTTCCTCTTCTTTTTCTGCGTTATTGAGTGTGAAATCAACATCCATATAATTTCAAAGGAACATCGTGGGTTTCTGGGAAGGGATTTTTTTTTTTTTTGGAAAATATTTAGGTCAATTTAACTAAATTTATATACGTATAGCATACATAAGACTCAAAATTAATACCGAAGGAAAAAAGAATTAAAAAAATAATAATTATGTAATTATTTAATATCTATTTAATTTGCTGAACATGGCTCATTTATATCAAAGAATCACAATTAATGCAAGGTATGGACTATGAAGCCAGCAAGCAGCTTGCTTTCAAAGCAAACGCAGTAGACCATTCTCCTCTCCATTCTTCCATTGGCGGCGTTCTCGCCAGCATTTCGCGACTCCTTTTTCCTCCATTCTTCCGACAAATCCCATCTCTCTCTAACTAGCTCCCATGGCGGCGCCGGCAAGATCGCTAGAGTACGAATTCGAGTGGGCCCCCTCTCCCGCCGCCGCCGCCGCTATCTCCGACGGAAAACAAGCTGCGTCGAAAATCATTGACAACCTCAGCCCTCCCCTCATCGCAATGTTTGCCGTCGTCGGCACTGCCTTCCTTATCGTAGTATACGCCCGCCTCCTCTCCCGCCAGATCAGCCGCCTCCGCCGCCGATGGAGGAGATGGCGGCGATGTCGCCATCTACTCCGCTCCGCCGCCTCCGACTTCGGAACGGGATCCCAATCCCATTTCTCGCCTCCTCCCTATCCCACCCCCTTCCCCTTCTCTTCCGACTCCTACTCCGATCACCTCCTCTCCCCCTACGGCCTCGACGACGCGGCCATCAAAACCCTACCTCTCTCCCTTTTCTCTAGATCCAAAGCGAAGCAACCAATCTCAACGAATCGGGACTGCGCAGTCTGCCTATTCGAGTTCGACGACGGCGAGTGGCTCCGTACCCTCCCGATATGCGGACATGCCTTCCATATCGAATGTATAGACGTCTGGCTCCGATCCCACCCCACCTGCCCCCTTTGCCGCGCCGCCGTCTCCTTCCGCTCCGATTCCCCCTTCGTTCCCATGCGCGCGGCTCGCATCCGCCCAAGCTTCGACGACATCGTCGTCGATCCGCCGGCGCCGCCGGATCCAGCGTCGTCGCCGATTTTGGAGGAAAGGGGGAGGAGTTTTCTCCTCAAGAGATCGTACTCATTCGGATTCGAGCGGAGCGTTGGAACGGAACGGATGGTGATGGAGGTTACGGCGGCGACGACTGCATCACCAGCTTGGCGGCTTCGGCATCAGCACCATAGCCAGCATCATCAGCATCGAGGGTTTTGGAGCAAGCGATGGCCATCGCCGTTCGGCGGCGGGGGGTCTGCGAGACCTTATTATCATCGGAGTGGCGGCGGTGGGGCGATGAAATCGCCATTTTGCCGGCGATGGGGGTTTGCGCCGTTCAATGGTGCCAGCGGCGTAGGGGCAGTGGGTTCGTCGGCTACTACGACGGGGACAGGGGGGAGGAGGAGCAGGTCGATGACGAGCCCGTCGGCGATGTGGATGGGAAGAGCGGTCGGGTTCTCGTCGAGCCGGATGAGGTGTGGGGACCCGGAGGCGCTGCTTTCGCCGGAGAGATTTAACCGGCGGTAGCCGGTTGGTGGGGGCTGGGGACCGGGAGTAATCAGTGTATGGGTCTGCCGTCTGCGTCTGGCCACCGGTGACGAATGACGATGGGGTTTTAATGGCGTGTGGCATGCAAGAATTTAATGAGCTGCCGGGGAGCTTTAAATAAAATTAAAGTTATATTTGATTGAAATTATATTATTATTTTTATCTATGAATTTAAAGGTTATTTGATTTCATATTCATATATTTAACCATTTTTATTGAGTTCATTTGAGATTTGTTTGATTATGAGCTAATTTTAAATATATATGTTATGTTAAATGTTGTTGTTTATACTCATAGCTCCTCACCATCAAGAATTGATCATCACTAGTGGTCGTAATTGTTAATGATTGCTCGTTATTGGTCGTTACTCTTCATTGGTTGTTATTGTATCTCCCACTTATGATCATATTTGCCCATCATTGACCCTAATAGCCTTGCCACCATTGATCACCACCATCATAAGCCACTATCATTGTCGTATGCCTCTGCTACCCTCGTCTAGCCAAAGCCAAACATCATTGCCTCAACTTCCCCACCTTTAACTATTATTTCAAATACATTGTTATTTTATGTTGGATACTTGCCAAGATTTTAGGTTGTTTCTCTCTTTGTACTTTCTTTAGGTTACTTTAGCATGTATTGCCTTAGGTATAGCTTATTTTGTCTATAAATAAATGTAAGGGTCTTTTTAAAAGAAGGAGCTTGATGTTAATTTAAATTAGGTATATGAGCAAAATATTAAAAAAATTTAAAAAGAAGTAAATTAGTCAAATCAGATGACACATTCTAAAGAATGCACCAAATGATTTGGATAGTTCTTTAGAATGCGTCAAATCATTTGGTACATTCACCACAGTCAGTCGAATTAAAGTCTAAAATTACTATAGTAATGCGCCAAACAATTTAGCGCATTCAATGGAATGCCCCAAATAGAATGACACATTCCATTGAATGCGTCAAACTGTTTGGCTTATTCTAAATATGCCAAACAGTTATAGAATCAGCCAAAAAGTTTTGAGGTATTCAATGGAATGCGTCATTCTGTTTAGCTAGTTTACTTCTAATTTAAATTATACATCATTCCCGCTATTTATAATATTCCGTAAATGTAATAGGGATATGCCATAATAATAGAATTATGTTGACTTTTCTTCCTTTTATCTCTTCCTCTCTTCTGAGAGCTTCTCTTCCTCCATCAAGATCCTAACATTTTAAATAGAACTTCTTTATATTTAGGTATTTATAATTATAGTGAACTCAACCAAATAACTTGATAGTAAATTTAATGCACTGTTTTTATTTCATATTATAGTTTTTTACTCTGCATTTTCTGTTACAAATAGCCTCTTAAGCAACTTTTCAAAGTTTATTGTAATCTATTTAAGGACTGAATAATGTCATATTGATTTTTTATTTTTATACAAATTAATTTAAGTGATGTTATTAATGTGATTTAAATATTTGAGAATAATAGAAATAAATATAAAAATTTAAGCAGTAGATATATAAATATATAAAAACGTTTTGATATGCAAAGAACTTATTAAAATGCATGATTGTTATATTCGCAATTTTGCATATGATTTTTTTAAGGTTTAATTTTAGCGAGACTATTTTTTTAATTATTCAAAAAGTATAAATTTCTATCTAATGTAAATTTGTATTTTATTTGTTTCTGTTTTTAAGCATTTGGAATTGTGTTTAATCATATTTTTATTTCAAAACGTGGAGAATTTATGAAGTATTTAACCAATTATGCAAAAGTATATTCACAAATTTAATTCATTAAATACCAGTTTTGATTTCTAAGAAATGCAATAAGCTTTGGTTTAATACAAAATAAAAACTAAAATAAATTTGTTAAATTAAAAAAACTGTTTAATTAAATCACCAAAATTATTTTATAATTTTCAGTGTATCAACAATTTATTTTAACTTATTAAAATCATGTTTAATAAAGCTTTCTTTATTAGTTTTTTTTTTTTTTGTAAATAGTAAATCTTTGATAAAGTTTTAAAATTTTCTTGTTGAGAGTCGAGTAGGGGTGCAAATGAGTTGAGTCAAGCTCGAATAGTGTGCTTGTGCTCAGCTCATGAAAATGGATGTACTCTCGTGAGCCAGCTCGAGATCAGCTTTTCTGCGTCTGCGATTCCTTCTTATATGTCTGCGCTCGAGTTCAACTTTCGCGCGCAATTCCTCCTTTCACGTTCCTTCCGCGTCCACGCTCAAGTTTGCCTTTCGCTTTGTGTTCGTGCTCGAGTTTGCCTTCTACGTGATTCCTCTTTTGCGTCTGCGCATGATTCCTCTTTCCATGCTCGAGTCGCTTAGCGCATCAACTAGTTGAACAACGTTTTAATCAAACTCGGGCTCGATTACCCAACAATCTGCTCGTGGTTTTTTTTGCAATCATGATTTTTCTACTCTTGATTGTGCTATATATGTTGTGCCATATGAATTGTTTGTAAATGAGTACAAAGCATATACCTTGATTTTTCCATAATTGTTAAATCATTCAATTGTTTAATTCTTCTTATCTTTCTTGTGCTCTAAGCTAAAGAGCCAAGGAATAAAGAAAGTGAGACCAAGAAGAAGGCAGTAAAGTCAAAGAGAATCCAGAGACCTCCCAAGAGAATTATTAGGATCCCTCACAAGTACTTGGAAGAAAAAAACTAGGAAATACTGATCCTTTCACAAGGTATTTAAAAAACATCTATTTCCTTACCTTGTTACACTATGAGTTTCAAATATTAGAGGAATCTAAAGGCATTTCAAATATAATATATATCCATTTAACCAAGTTTAGATTGAACTACTCGCTTGAATATTAACGAGTAATTATGTATCTATATATAAATACTTCTGATTTAAAGATATCCAAATTAATATTTGGGCTATTTAGTTAGATGAAAAATAACTCTAAAGTATTCTAAATATAAGAGTTATTAAAAATTTTGTGTTTAGTTTAGAGGCTATTTGGTTGGTTGAAAATGAATATTGTGTAAAAAGAATGCAATATATTTAAATTGTTTTGGAGTTGTTCATATAAGTGTAAAATAGATGCAGGTGATTTTTATGCTTGAAGTAAACACTACATGAAAGTTATAGATTTGTGGTGTACTTTGCGGCGGATTATTTTTTGTCAAAAATGACGACGGATTTGCAACGAAAATTTTCAATGATTTTTTTTTTTTTTGGCGGCAGAATTTTTGTCACAAGATAAGTTATAATATAAATTTAAAAAGTGTTTTGTTGTATTTTGTCTCTGCGGCCATGTGAAGAAGGGGTTGGTTTGCAAGAGAAGAAAATGAGGATCGAATCCCGGGCAGGTCATGTGGCGCGGGTTGTTCGGTCAGAGGCGGGTAGCCGGTGAGGCAGGTGGGCAAGGTCGAGCAGCCGGTCAGGCTTGAGTAGCGGGCAGCCGTTCAGGTTAGAATTTTTTATTTTGTTTTTATAAATCCGCTGAAAATCCGTCGCAAATAAAATTTTGCGATGGATTTTTCCTCCGTAAATCCATGACTTTCATGTAGTGAAAGCTAATATAGATTATAACCCAAAGACGGTGGTGGTTGGTGGCCAACAATATGGCAACTGGCGATGGTAGTGATGTGGATGGGAGGGCAACTATCAACAATGGAGGTTAGCAGCAGGCAATGATCATCAACGATGGTGGGTGTGGGTGGCAATGGAGAGTGATTAGTAGTAGCGGGTGACTATCTGCGAAGGAGGCAACTGCAATCAACAATGGCAGTGGGGGCAGCAAGAGGCATCAATGGTGATGAATTTATGATGTATTTGAAAATTGTCCAAATCTTCCAAATTCTAAATGTATCCAATTTGCACAAAAGAGTGCATTTCAAATACACTAAAATTTTATGCTACATTTATTGTGCTTCAAATCAAACAACAATATTCTCAAAATCTTTGCATTTGAGATACTTCAAACCTATTTTAATTCAAACCAAACAACCTCTTAATGAAAAATGAATGCAAAGTAAAATTTTGATGAATTCTAATTTCACTATACAACTCATTTTGTATGTATTCTAAACTCACTTGCTTTCAACCGAATTTCAAAATACACCGCAATGTGACTTTGCGATGTCGATGGGCACTACAAGCATACTATTGACCGTTATTGGCCTCCTGTCGACCACCATCAATCACGTACCGCTCATACTCACCGACGGTCACTATAGACAACTAGCTACCACTATCCTTAAACTTTATACTACAATCATTTTACTTTAAAAAATTATATTTATTTAAACTCTTCTTAATAATTTCAAATATTTCAAATATATTATATTTATTTTACAATGGAATTTATTTCACTATGAATCTCCCAAAGTAAATTTTTTGTCATGGAAAAACCTTTTTTATCCATCATAATTAATGTTGGAACTAATGAAGTATGAACAGCCTTTAATAAAGCCTCATGTTTGATCTCTCATCAAACGACATTTATAAACAAAAAAAATCAGTCAATCTAAACAGAGGAATACTTACAAGTCTTGCATATCAATATATTCACAATATCAAAAAACTATGATAGAATAAACAAATAAATAAATAATTCCAAAAAACAAAAAAAGAATCATTCATTCCTCATCAGCTTCATGAACCGTACTCAACATTCTCTTCAATCTGCCACCTCTGTTCTTCAAGTAGCTCTTCTTCTTCTCCACCATCCCGTCGCCGCAGGCAATCTCACCACCACCAAAGCCGACCGCCGGCATCACCCTCGTCCGCCGAATCCCCCTCCCCCGCTTCTGCTCCCCCTTTCTCAGCGCCATGCTCGCCTTCATGGCCATCGCCACCATGTCAGCACCCGTCACCCGCCTCCCAACGTCCGCCGCCTCCAAAATTAAGTAGAGCTTTCCTACCTCAAGCTCGGCTTCAGGCGACATCACGGGTGGAAAAGCATCGAAAACAATCTTCTCCGCATCGCAAATCGCGCCATTTGCGCCCGCCACGGCGACGGCGGCGGCAATTCGGGCAGTGTGTACATGGAGGGAGCCGTCGGCGGCGATGACCATGATCTTAGACTTACGAACCGAGTAGTCATTCACGGAGGCGGCGGATGAGAGGAAAGAGCCCATGAAGGGTGAAGGAAG